AGAATCCAGCAAGAATCCCGAATGGACCTTCTGAGGTAAGAAAGGGAGAGGCGGGGTGCAGATCCTGAGCCTAACAACAAAAACTAAATCACACAGTCTTTATAAGTCTCTATAAAATAATCCACGTCAAGGGCTTAGCACAGTGCCAACACACAGTAATAACAGTAACAGATGACATTTATTTAACACTTAACACTAGTGAATCCTCACCTGCTTTTCAGTCAGAAGCACCAGAAAATTTTTTGAAGCACTGACCCTGTTGAAGAATTCTAGTTTAGTTTTGCTTTTTTGGCGCTTTCAACAGAGAACACCAAGTTCTGTGAGCCTTAATACAACAATCACAAGGGCACCTTCTTCCAGTAATTAGAAGAGAGGCTTGCAATGCAGAATTAGGGTTTCAGATACTAGATTAAAGAGGAAGAGCTGCAGAGGCATACTCCTAAAATTACTAAAATCTATGAACTCTGCAGGGAAAGGGTTAACTGCAGACTTAGTAAAGCTGGGAAATAAAGGGGTGAGCACATTAGTAACAATGTGAAAAATCAGCAAAACCACTTTGCCATGAGCAGTCTCCCTGAAATAGGCTCTCCTTTACTTTTCATTTCTTCTGCTTTCCAGTCTGTTCTCTTTGAAGCAGCTCTTGATTAGTTTCTTTTTTCGTTTCTGCTTTGATCTAGTTTTGAAAAACTAAAAGCTTGAAGGGGAAGAATAAATAAGGACTAAAAAGATTTCTTCTTTCCAAGAGCTAGATGCAGCTATAAGCCATCAAATGAACAGGGAAAGAACCACTCTTGGAAAATCTAAAGAATAAAACAAAAGCAAATGAGGATAGTTTTATGGAATTTACTTTCAAAAAGATCTTTCTTTTCTCTTCAGTTTCTTCACAAGAAATAATATATTATGATCCACAGGTGAGAAAAACTTATAAGAATTCATGCTAACTGTCCCCATTCACGCAGTAAGAGCGGGACGAAGAGGCATTCTTTATCAAAGGGCTCTTGCTTGACACATGGCTTACTGACATCTCAATGGTATTAATGACGCTACAAAATAAATTCCAAAAGAATCCTAGGAACAAAATAGTCTAAAAGTTCTTTCCTGTTCTTAAACACCCAGATAAGCTTTGTTACCCCAAAATTAAAATCTACTGCCTACTGACAAGGTTTGTTCTTTAGCAATACTTCTTGAAAGCCTTTCACTAAAAAACAAGCAAGCAAATTAAATCACACAGATGAATACAGACTTTTAAACAGCCCTCTGCTTGCTCAGAGCCACAGAACTGCAGAGATATACAGTATAAAATTATTTCCTTCTGATTCTCCTCTCAGTTGCTGAGGCTAACTTATGTCAGGCAAGTAACTGGGGGAAAAATGCTGACCTTTCCTCTTGAGTGGATTTTTTAAAAAAATAGCTGATAGATAAAAACTGTAGACAGATATACACGTACCATATATACAATGTATATGTACGCATTTGTACCTAAAAACATGTTTATATGCATATGTTAAGCTTTATATTCACCGAATATTTATGCTTATTTGATTATGGAGAAAACACATGACTGGAAAAGTCAAGAACTAAACTTAGACACAAAGACACATAAGAAACTAGCACAACTGCATTTCCTATTAACCCAGTGCATGAATGTAACTCATCTTAGTGTAAAGCACTATGAACCCATCCTGAAAGAAAATCCTAAAAGAATGAGATAGTTTTAACTCTCATTAACCTTTACTGCATATTGTACTTTAGAACACTAGCATTAAAAAGAGGAATTCCCTTTCAATTCTTACATGACTTTTGAAAACATTTTAAATAACATTAAGTAAAGACCACCACCCATCTGTCAGTTTATCATACTGTGGCGGCTTGAGTGTTGCTATGATGCTGGCAGCTATGCCACCAGTATTTCAAATTCCAACAGGGTCAGCCATGGTGTACAAGTTTCAGTGGAGTGTCCAGACTAAGATGGACTAGGAAGAAAGGCCTGGCAACCTATATCTGAAAATTAGCCAATGAAAACCCTATAGATTCCAAACAGCATATTGTTTGATATAGTGCTAGAAGATGAGCCCCCTAGGTTGGAAGGCACTCAAAATACACAGTGGCTGCAACAATGGGTTTCAGCATACCAACAACTGTGAAGACGGTACAGGACCAGGCAATATTTCATTCTGTTGTACATGGGGCCTCCATGAGTCAGAGGAGACTCAACAGCAACTAACAATAAAGACAAAAACAATTTCAAGAAGCAGAAGCTTCTACCACAAATTGAAGGATCCTCGATTTCTGCTGGTTTGGCACAAAAACTGTAGTCAAGTTTACAATGAGACTATTTTGGGGAAAGAAAGTGTGTATGTAAGAAAAATCTCACATCCTTTCACTCAGTGAGGGGAAATGAAACTACTTTAAAATTTGTGTCAGGCACTTGACACTTACCATTCATTCATCCAGGAAATACTCAATAATGCCCACTAAATGTGAAGCATCTCAAGGCCACAATCCCTGTTCTCATACACCTTACAACTGGATGCAGGAGGGATCCGACACATTAAACAAAATTATCAAATGTTATTTAATTGGAGCCCTGGTGGTGCAGTGGTTAAAGCGCTTGTCTGCCAACCAAAAGGCTGGTGGTTCAAACTCATTAGCTGCTCCATGGGAGAAAGATGTGCTTCCATAAAGATTACTGCCATGGAAACCCTACAGGGCAGCTCTGCCCTGTCCAACAGGGCTGCTATGAGTCGGAATCAACTCCATGGCAGTGGGTTATTTAATTATTGTTAAGATAAAAGCTATGAAAAATACAGTATGTGATAAAAGCAGGGAGGTGGCTAGGGGAAGCAGATCAGGGAAGATTTGAAGAAAGAGGAGGAGGCAAGGTCAGAGGGCTGCACTCCAGATGTTATCTTATTTAATCCCCACAACAACTTCAGGTTAAGTAACTTTCCCAAGGTCACAGGACTATTAAGTGTCAGAAGCAGGCTTTGAACCCAGGTCTAAATGACTCCAAAGTCCATGCTTTTCCCACCATGCCACGCTGCTTCTTCCCAAACCTCCTCTAACAAGTAATTGAAAAATGTTGATTCTACCTCAGATTCTATTATCTAAGTGACAGAATTGGACTCTCTCCTCCAGCAGAGACCTCTAGATTCAGGATGCTAATAAACTTAATTTACGCACCCAGACCATAAACAAACAAACCAGATTCCTACTCAAGAGTGACCCTATAGGACAGAATAGAACTGCCCTATAGCATTTCCAAGGCTGCAAATCTTTATGAAAGCAGACTGCCCCATTTTTCTCCCGTGGAGGGACTGGTGGGTTCAAACCGACCCCTTTTTGGTTAGCAGCCAATTGCTTTAACCATTGCCCTACCAAGGCTCCTTACCCAGGCCATAACCATGTACAAAAACAACAACAAAAACACCTCCAAAGTTTTTTTTAGGCTGTCACTTTGTTGTACTATAAACACTTTCTGCCAAACGGTTTTGCAAAGTGATTCATAGCATGTAGGGAACAAAACCAACTGAAGTATAGACACAGGTCAAAGTGATAGCTTACGCAGACAAAACTCAAAGCAAACTATACAAAGAGCAATGAAAAAGCCCTATTTTCACTTCTGAAATGACTTTCACATTTAGTAACTCTCATCTCTCACTCCAACCTCTACCCAGGACAGCTACACTTTCCCTTCTTCCTGTTCCTACTTCCTCTTTCTTAGCTCTTCTAAGGAATCTCAAACTTCTAAACAAGGCTTTTATTACACTAGAACTGTTGTGAGTTACACCAACAGAACACAGCCTTATAAAACCAAATCTGGCACACTGCCTTTCCCTCTACATTCTTTGTGTGAATTTTAACGCTTTCAGAAGAACATAAAAGCTAAATCTTTTAACCTAAGGATTTATCACAACAAGCAGATTATAAACTATTTAAGTATTCCTTCACTCTCCAGTCCCCACTAGAGAGCAGAATTAAAAAAAAAAAGTTTATCCAAAAACCTCAACCTTCTTCCTCTGAGGCTACCATGAACACTACAAATGACAAGCTGGCTATGAAAAATCAGACTACCACAGACTCAGAAAAAGTTACACAGCCAAAACAGTGTCTCATGACTAATAATATATATGTAAATACAGTTGATTAGATATACAGAAAGAGAGAGAGCCAGCCCCTATAAGAATGTGAAGAAAGAAGAATGATAGGGTTTGGCTTAAAAGAACTCATCACTCAAAAGCCTGATGCATTTCTTCCTCCTGAGGAAGAAATGCACAGCTACTAATAAGCAATACTCTAAAGTGTGAGTATTAAATCCACAGTTTCCAAACTGTCCAAGAAGCAACATCACTCAATTTCTTCAAGCTTGAGGCTACTTCGCAAAGTTAGTAGAACAAGGATGCTGGAAGACCTAATTATATATTGTTCAGGAAACATGGATTATTTGGAGCAACGGACGTGTAACTCAAAACACTATCATACAGTTAATTACCCAGGATTTATAAGGTGAGTATACATTTTGGGATTCTGTAATAGTGATATTTTACAACATAATTATGGTTTGTATAGCTTGATGAATTTCCTCATTGAAGGTGAACTGCAGCGAAATGCTTTATTATTCGTTTATTGCTAATCAGTTCGTTCATACACCTCTACAGATAACGTTCCCTTTGAACTGTACTGTCATTGGATTGCCCCGTGTTGTGCTATCAAAAACCATCGTCCAAATTGTTCTTTTCCTCAGATGCGCCTGAAACACACGAGTAGAATATTACACAGAAGAACTTTTATATAAAAAAACTATTGAATGTCTCCGGCCCTCAATATACTAAGCACCCACCCTTCGTGAATGACAAAGACAGCAACCAATCGCCAGGCAAGATCCCAATGCCTTAGCCAATAAGAATATAGGGGTGGGGTTAGACTAAGCTCCGGGTGACTTCCCCGCACCCCAGATTGTGGGAGACTGGACGGGAACTGAACTCCGAGGATCTCATTACCCCCGGTTGTAGCTGTTGTCCTCCTCGTTCTCGCAATCGCTGCAGTGTTCATGGCCGTTTCCGTTCCCTTCCATCATCTGCGGCGGCGGAGGTGCCGGCGGCTTCACTGCTGTCTCACTCTCGTCCGCCATCTTGAGTTCCCAGAGCCGGGCTCCGCGCCCCGCTACATGGGGAGTTCCTATTGGACGAGGGGAACTTGCGCTATCTTCTGGGTTTTGTAGTTTTTTTGGCGAAGGGATGAGCCGCTACTAGGCGCGGCTTACTCCCTGGAAACGGAAACGAGTGGACTACAGTACCCAGAAATCATGAAGGGAGGCTGTCCCCTAGATTGGGCGGCACAGCGATACCCGGAAGCCCTAGGCCTTCGACCGCGCTTTGAGGAAAGAAGGCTCCCAAAGTTGGTGGGGTCGGCTTCCCCGACGCGGGTGGCCGCATGGCATGCTGGGAATTGTAGTTCGATGCTAATTTAGGGTTCCAGGTGTGGAGGCTCCAACATCCAAGGTCTGACCTCAGCCTGCTCTTGCTATTGCCTAGGCCACAGGTGAGCCGTTATTGGCTGCCGTTAAGGACCGTTACCATTCCCGGGTAAGTGAGAGGGCCAGAGGCCCGTGAATATGACCCGCCCGGAGCCCGCCTGGGTCAGGCCTTCTCGGATGGGGGTTTCCTGCAAGAAGTCAGGTTGGCTTCTATCCGCCGTCCTCACTCGAGACTCCTGGCAACCCCTGGTCGTTGGTAGTTCAAGGCCTCGCGAGGGAGAAGACCTGGCTGCTCTTTACTGAGCACTTATATGCAAGGCCCTGTGGTAAGGCTTTTCGTACAGTCTCTCATTTTATCTTCTCAACAAGCCTAGAATGTGGGTGATGTTGTTATTCCGTTTTTTCACAGATGAAGAAATGAGGCCCTGAGAGGTTGGTCAGTTGCGCAGTCACATAGCTAATAAGTGGAGAAGTCAGTATACAAATTGGGATCTATCTGCCCCTAGACTTTCTGAACTCTTTACCACCACAAAAGTTCCGTTGTCTGATACACACATCTACCCAACGAAATCAGTTATTAGAAGGTAATTGCAACTTTTTAATCTACTTTTAACCTTGGCTGAATGCTTCAGTCCCTTGGGTCTCACCCCTTTGATGGAGTAATCTTTGACCTGGGTGCTGAAGAGAGATTCCATGGTTTCCATTCTTAGAGGTTTCCTGTGTAGTTTGGGTGTAGTGGGTGGTGAGGGAAGGACTAAACCAAACCACACCAAACCCCTTGCTGTAAATTCGATTCTGACTCATAGCCACCCTATAGGACAGTCCCCATAGGGTTTCTAAGGAGCGGCTGGTGGATTTGAACTGCCGACCTTTTGGTTAGCTGCCAGGCTCTTGACTATGCCACCATGGCTAGTTCTGATCATCAGAGAGCTCTGTGGCCAAAAAGGGAAAAGATTTATGCCTTTGGGAGACTCTGGACATGGGAAGAAGGGCAGGGTGGGAAGAAATAGTTCCTATCTGACTCAGGTAACAAAACACAAGTAAAACATAGAGCTAAATGTAGTCAACTCTTAGTTTTTGTAAGTGGCAAGAGCAGAAGTAAATGTGGTCCAAAGCAGTAGATAATCCACAATCATTTATATTTGACTTTGGAAGGTAGTCAGAGACATCCGCTCAGGCTGAGAGCTGTCACCCATGCTCATCTCTCCAGGACCAAGACTGTTGTCAACGCGATGCCTTATATGCAGCTGTAGGAGAAGGAGAAAAGGTCAGAGATAATAATAAAGCCTTATACGTGTTAGATGGATTTAACTTTTCTAAGTGTTTTCACCTACCTCAGCTCATATATTTGACCTTGTGAAGTAGATAAGGAAGTGGTGACTTGAAAATTGTGCTTGCAAAAAAAAAAATCACAGTAGACCCAGTTGCAGAGCTGGGACCACATCTGATATCCTAATTCCCAACCCTGTATTTTATTTTCCCCACAGATAAGCAGAGGTTGAATGAAGGCTAATGAAACATGACCAAGGAAGAATGATTATGGGGAATGAGGGTGCTGGTTTCTGTGGACCCTGCCATTCTTGCAGTTCAAAGCTTAAGTAAGATACTCTGCCTTGTATTTCACTGTAAACTGAGCAGTTTTTTTTTTTTTAACTGTAGAGCCTTTCTGGGAGAGAGGCAGGCAATGGGGCTGACATAACCAAGCTCAAAACACAAGTATAAGACGAAAGTTCTGGAATCCAGCACCTCTGAGAATTTCAGAGTTAGAAAGGACCTGAGCCACACCTACTCATTCTCTCTCTCTTTCAGGATTTTTCAAGTCAGACTTCTCACTTATATTTTGTAGAATCCATAAAATTTAAATTTATGTTTTTAAAAAGAAATTGAGTACCTGTGATCACTTTTTTTAAATAACCACTTAATAACCGTGATTTTGGTGCCTAAGTTTCCATTTGGGTTTACGGTCACATTGGTACAGAATTATCACCCAAGGCAAAGCAATGTGAAGTTTCCTAAATCAAGTCTACAGATGTTTTCTTGGGTCCCATCAGTTCTCATATTTGCTCCTCTCCACTTCCCTATAAGGGTCTTCCACTTTTAGACAGCTGCAATTGGTGGAAAATTGGCCAAATTCTGCCTTACAGAGTTATGCAGAAATATGTAATCCTGTGTCATATGTTGTAAGATATTCTACAATTAGTATCTGGTTCCCTAAAATTCTTCTCTTTTCCTAAACAAACCTTCCCAGCTTTCTGAACCCCTTATCACACTAGAATAGCAGACCCTCCCATCTAGCCCTGCTGGCTTGTCCCACTGTACATTCTGGCAGGTACATCATGTGAAGGTCGTAGAGTACAGCAGGGCCCAGAGGGTGGCTGAAGAACCTGCCAGTGAAGTTCTGGAATTTACTCCTACCGTAGACACTTCCATCATCCCCTCACAGGTGTGGCTAAGAGTGCAGTCTCCAGAGTCTGGCTCCCTGGGTTCTAAATCCTGGCTCTGCCTCTGACTTAACGAGTGACCTTAGGCAAGTCACTTAACTTCTCAGAGCCTCAATGTCCTCATCTGTAAATGTAAAATGAGACAGTGCATGCAAAGAACTCTGGGACAAAGTCAATACCCAGTTATTGTTTCTCTTCCCAGGAAGTCAGCATTACTGCTGTGGTAACCAAAGAAAAGCTTTCTCATGATGTCTGTCACAGATCAAGGCCCTTGCTGTACTGCCAGCATATCAGAGATACCCTTTCTTCCAGTGGGCCTAGGAAGGCATGAGCCAGGTTGTGGTTCATGTAGTCAACATTTTGGAGCACTCACAACATATCAAACTCTATGGCAGGAACTGGAGAATCAGGAATAAAGAACACAGTCCCTGCCCTGGGTTCCTTCCAGGATCTAGTAGGTACATAGACTGATAGTAATAATACAGTGCCATGAGAGAGTGGGGAGCACAGGGTATAGTGGGAGGCCAGAGGAGGGACCCTTAATCTGGGGAAAGGGATCCTGCGGGAAATGACGGTTGAGTTTTTGTAGAGGAAGCAGGCAAACGGGTAGATGTTCTAGGAAGAAGGTGTGAACGTCCATCTGCCTGAGAGTAGCATGCTTTTGAGGTATTGCAACGAGAATGATGTGACTGGACCTTAGGGTGTGAGGAGCATTTTTTTTTTTTATTGTGTTTTAAGTGAAAGCTTACAATTCAAGTTAGTTTCTCATACAAGAATTTATACACACATTGTTATACTGTGACAGCACCCTCCTTTCCACCCCAGATTTCCTGTGTCCATTCAACCAGCTCCTGACCCTCTCTGCCTTCCCATCTCGCCTCTGGACAGGAGCTGCCCATTTAGTCTCATCTAAATGAGCTAAGAAGCACACTCTTCACGAGTGTCATTTTATGTCCCATTGTCCAGTCTAATCTTTGTCTGAAGAGTTGGCCTTGGGAATGGTTTTAGTTTTGGGCTAGCAGAGAGTCCGGGAGCCATGTCTTCTGGGGTCCCTCCAGTCTCAGTCAAACCATTAAGTCTGGTCTTTTTACTAGAATTTGAGTTCTGCACCCTACTTTTCTCCTGCTCCATCAGGGACTCTGTTTTGTTCTCTGTCAGGGTGGCCATGGGTGGTAGCTGGGCACCATCTAGTTCTTCCGTTGGAGGAGAATTTTGAAAGTTGAGACTGGAGAGACAGGCAGGAGTTGGACCGTGAAGGAATGCGATGCCACTCTGAGGAGTTAGAGTTTCATTCTGAAGACTCTTGGGAGCCATTGAGGGATTTTTAGCTGGGGAGAGACATGATCAGATTTTTTTAAAGAAGGATGATACGGGGCAGCAGCCTGGCTGTCCTAGGGAGAAGGTTTTCCCCCTCTGAAGAACAGGGCTAGTGGGCTCATTGTGAAATAAGGAATGGGGAGATGGCCTTTGGCAGCTTCCTGTCTCCCCTGGAGCTCCCCTTTAGGAAGGGTACCCTTCCTTCCTGAGTCACGGCCCCTACTGGATCTCAGTTTACATTCACTCATTCAATACATGGGCCTGAAGCACAGTGGGCCGAGCCTTCTGCTCAGTGCTGTGGGATTTAAGTAGTGTGCCAGGATTTCTCTGCCAGAGGGCACTTACAGTAAAATCAGGAAGACTAGGCACACTTGAAAATAAAATAACAAAGCCTGACTGCATATGATTAGATAACAAATGAGCCAGATAGATAATAAGTCAAGTCAAATGGTGGTGGGGGAAAAGGTGTTAGAAAAGGCTTTCTGAAGAAACCAGACTTTGAACTTGGCCTCTAGGCTATTTAGGCCATTACAGGTGTCTTAGTTATCTAGTGCTGCTGTAACAGAAATACCACAAATGGATGGCTTTAACAAACAAATTTATTTTCTCACAGTTAAGGAGGCTAGAAGTCTGAATTCAGGGTGCCAGCTCTAGAGGAAGGCTTTCTCTCTGTCAGCTATGGAGGAAGGTCCTTATCTCTTCTGAGCTTCTGCTCCTAGGCAATCTTCATGTGGGTTAGCATCACTCTTCCCCATCTCTGCTCTGCTAGCTTGTTTAATTTCTTTTATATCTCAAAAGAGATTGACTCAAGATACACCCTACACTAGTCCTGCCTCATTAACATCACAAAGATAACCGTTCCCAAATGGGATTATAAACCAGGCACAGAGGTTAGGATCTACAACACATATTTTTGGGGAACACAATTCACCCATAACAACAGGCGTTCTGGGACCTGTGGACTCCCTCTCCTAAGCCAATGTAACAACTGCGCTTTTACTTTTGTATGGTTGTTTGGTTTGTGATGATCTTCCCCCACAGGTTGCTAAATTCTATGAAGGCAAAGACTAGGCTGGCTTTTCCTCACCTCCGTCCGTGGTTAAGTGCTATGGCTGCTAACCAAAAAAGGTTAGTTCGAATCCACCAAGTCTTCCTTGGAAACTCTATGGGGCAGTTCTACTGTCCTGTAGGGTCGCTAAGAGTAGGAATCAACTTGACAGCAACAAGTTTAGTTTGGGGTTTTTTTTAATCCCTTGGGCGGAGCCCTGGTGGCATAGTAGTTAAGCGTTCAGCTGCTAACCAAAAGGTTGGCAATTTGAATCCACCAGCTGCTCCTTGGAAACCCTGTGGGGCAGTTCTACTCTGTCCTGTAGGTCAGTATGAGTCGAATTGATGGCAATGGTTTATTTTTTTTATCCCTTAGGTGGGCCCTGGTGGTGCAGTGGTTAAGAGCTATGGCTGCTAACCAAAAGGTTGGCAGTTTAAATCCACCAGCTGCTCCTTGGAAACCATATGGGGCAGTTACATTCTGTCCTGTAGGGTTGCTCTGAGTTGGAGTCAACTCGATGGCAACAGGTTTTATCCCTTGGGCTGGCAAATAGCCCTCAATATTTGTTGAATTAATGAGTGAGTGAGTAAATGAGTGAATGGCAAGAAAGCAGGATTGGGCCTTCAGGATAAGAGAGTTTAACAAGCAAAGGCAGAGACAGGAACACATACAATATAATGATTTCTTATGTTTGTACAGTGCTTTGTTGCTCACAAAATGCACTAGTACACTATCTCATTTGATCCCTACCATGACCTGTATGGTGAGCACGGCAGGTATTATTCCAGTTTTACAGTGAGGAACCAAAGAAAAGTTCAGTGATTTGCCCAGAGTTTCTTAGTTGCTACTTAGTATGGACTTCAGACCTGAATTTGAGTGTTTTAACAAAGTCTGGTGTAATAACTAGATTACCTTCCTCCTCTCCTTTGCCAAGGGGAACATATGTCTGGTGGAACTTTATCTTCTAGATGATAAGGACCTATGGGAGGCTTTTTTTTTTTTTTTTTTAAGGTTTTTAATAGAGGATAAATATTAATGGTATTTGTGAGGCATGATATAAATTTAATTGCATATTAATATTTATTTAAAGTAAATATGCAGAAAATAAATTTTAAGAATCAAGAGTCAAAGATCCAGGAGTCAAAGGAGTCATCTCTAATGGACTCAGTTGTTCATCAAACAAAACTTGAAGCATCACTGTGTCCCAGGCATCATGCTAGATGCTAACAACACAGAGGTGACTGGGTTGCAGGTCATTTTCAGGATGAAGTGGGATCATATAAGAAGCTAGAGCCAAATCAAAGTTTATGATTGCCTGGTGCATAAGGGAGGATATGTGTTTGGGCTGAGAAAACTCTTGATGTCATCACCTCAACACTGCTATGGTGAGTTTCAGTACCAGGAGGTGCCTGGGTTGAAGCCCCTGCAGCAGCTCTTTAGCCTTTGCTCTGTCCCAGGGTAAAGGTTCAGCAGCTGTTGGCAGATTGGACCACAAGGACACCTGCTTAGAAGGCAAACCCTCACTCATATGCCAATAGCTTATGACACTGTAAGGCAGTATCTGGGTGTCATGGATTGAATCATGTCCCAAAAAAATATGTAGCAATATGGCTAGGTCATGATTCCCAGTAGTGTATGATTGTCCACCATTTTGTCATCTGATGTGATTTTCCTATGTGTTGTAAATCCTATCACTATGTTAATGAGATGGATTAGCAGCAGTTATGCTGATGAGATCTACAAGATTAGATTGTGTTTTAAGCCAATCTCTTTTGAGATATAAAAGAGAGAAGGGAACAGAGAGACTTGGGGACCTCATACCACCAAGAAAGCAGCACCAGGAGCAGAGCATGTCCTTTGGACCCAGGGTTCCTGCACAGAGAAGCTCCTAGTCCCAGGGAAGATTGATGACAAGGACCTTCCTCCTGAGCCAACAGAGTGGGAAAACCTTCCCCTGGAGCTGACACCCTAAGTTTGGACTTGTAGCCTACTAGACTGTGCGAGAATGAATTTCTCTTTGTTAAAGCCATCCACTTATGGTATTTCTGTTACAGCAGCACTAGATGACTAAGACACTGGGGAAATCAGGATCATCTGCAAGGATTTCCTAACAATGTGCCCCAGGAATATCCCGGTAATCTGGGGGGAAGGGTGGCCATGTTCTTATCGCTATCACTGCCATGGTTACTAATGGGAGCCTGGGTATTCCTCTGATGTGTCAGGAGTAGAGAATAGGTTGAGAACCACAGAACTAGGTTATGTGTATGTTGTTTGGCTTGAGGAAGGGGGTGGAGGAGGAAAGGGACTGGGCCATGAGATCTGGCTCTATGGATTAGGGATTACATTTGTTCTTATATGGCTTTATGGAGTGGAACTAGGAGAGAGATCATCTAAGAACTTTCTAACTGCCAGGAATGAACTTCAAAGACAGCATAAAGCTGCTTTGAGAGGTAGTGAGTTCCCTGATACTGGATGTGTCCAAGTATATATAAATGGCAGAGAAGACATGGAAGGGATTCAGACACTGGCAGGGTGTTTGGACCAATTGACCCTTTGATTGTGAGACATTATTGGGTGATGGCAGTCAGTGCTGTTGGAGTCAAGCTTTCAGAGAAAG